AAAAAAAACTAGAAAATTCTACGGAAGGAAATTTGCGATGTGTGAAAATTGCCCTTTTTGTAGATTTTCTGAAATTCCGCTCCGTAGAATTTTTTAAAAATCTTTGTGCATTTTCCTTTTCAAGTGCCAAAAGCAATCACTGAAAAAAATCAGGGGGTCACCGGGTTAGTTTTCGAATTATTTAAGCCACAAGCTAAAAAATGCGTCTGAATAAGCCTATGAAAGCGTTGCCATAGAAACTGCTAGTGACGAAATGACACTTATTTTTGGATAACCAATGATTATGTAATTCAACCCCGTAAAAGTGTTCAACTGGCCTTGGTCAGTCTTTCTGTTGTATTCTTTCAAAGTTACAAACCATCAAAAAGATGAAAACCGGTACGAGCCACCTTAAGTACACGACCAAAACACTACTACGAGTTGAACTCAGAGGTTATGCTTTCTCAGCTTGTTTTTGTTTTCTTGACCAAATTCATTACGTCATCATAATAAACCCAAACCGCAGGCGGCCAAACATCACACATCAAATTTCACCACAAAACCTCTAGCCAATCAGTTGTTGTTCTCAAAATAGTCGCACCCCGGAACGCGAACTAAAATTAGATTTAAAAAAAATAATTATCATTGGAAAAGGGGTATGTATGTACTCTCAGTTTATAATCTCTTAGTGACATCGGGTGTGCGTGCCCTACTGCTGTGTTGTTCTTCAGGATCGAAGCTGATGAAGAATTTATTTAGTATTTCCGTTCATTCGAAAAGTTTGAAAAGACGGGCGGGAATCATGACGTCGTTGATCAATGTGACCACGCGTAAATACGCCACTTGATCCTCCGATTTAGTGGTCGTATTGATTACTTGAACGTTTCAGTTCCTGATCCATATCACAAGTGACGACATCAAGATGTTTATCATTCATGAGAATTTTCATTAAAGTTGATATTTATAGACCGCGTTGTGAAAGAACATTACCAAAATTAAAAACATTGTCTTCTACTTATAGTCTGAAGCAAGAAGTGAGAAAACAAGTAAGTAGTCTTAAGCAGGAAGTGAAGAGCACTCAGCCTGTCCGATTTTTAGACCCCAATACCACCAGCAAAATATTGACGGCCTTTGGAGGAAATATTTTCACAGAGTTGTTTCGTACTTACACTCAATCCCAACGTTTAATTGTAGCTTAGTTTTGGTAGTGCTGCAAATTTGATCGAGCCTTATGTCTCTGTTTGGTGAATACCCGTGCAAAAATGAATCAGTCGCTCCAATCTACATCTCGTTTACTACGGCCGCTGTATGTATTCCGCTTTGTCTATTTACCGTCGCTGGGAATCTACTTGTTGTGTTGGCAATCTTCACCGATCCAAACAAAGATCTAAAATCTCCTTTTAACTACTTTGTGGCTAATCTTGCCATTAGCGATCTTTTGGTGGGATTCGTCGTCGACCCGATTGCGGTAGTGTACCATATAATGGAAGGAGTTGAGAGAAAACTACCACCTTTACCCTACATTCACATGCCGTACTTCATTTCATGCACAGCTTCTGTACTCAGTCTAGCAGCTTTGACACTGGATCGATATTTGGCGATAACGTCTCCGCTAACCTACAGAACACAACTGAATCCTCAGCGAGCAGGTTTTGTGGCGGCTGGCATCTGGGTATTCTCAGTGAGTTTCCCTTTCATATACCTTGTCACGGGCTACCTTACATATTCATTTGTCTTTCTCCACACAGTCGTAATTGCAACCCTTTTAGTCATCCTTCTAACGTATCACAAGATCCTTCGTGTATTAAAAAATCAAATGAAACAATGGGACTTGACGGATCAGTCAACAGCGGACAATCAGGCAAAGAGAAAGGCAGCAAGTTGGGAACAGAAAGTAACCAAAACCTTTATTATTATATTGTCTCTTTTCTTAGTCTGCTATCTGCCTTCCTGTATTTGCATTTACATTATTAACTTATGCAAGGTTTGCAGTTGTACACTTATTCACTGGGCAAGAGATATTCCTCTTCTACTTATCTTAGCCAATTCAGGAGTGAACCCATTTGTGTATGCCTGGCGATTTGAAAATTTCAGGAAAGCGTTCGCAAAGCTTTTGAGGGACAGAAAGTGTTCTCGACAAGAAAGCCAAATAACTTTAGCATTTGACACCATCACCATACAGACGATGGAAAATTGTCTTAAAACAGTACCTAGTAAAAGGCTGCCGAAGGATGGAACAGAAAGTACCTAACCTACTTATCACTATGCTGGATCTCGTCGCACTGTATCTTCAGTTGTGACTTTATTCAGTAGGTTAAAGTTTTTAAGATCTTCTGACGCGGAGAAAGTGCTATGGTTATTTTTGGCAAAGTTTGAAGAGTAAAACACGGGGGTATGCTTTCAGCCTTTTTTTTTGTCACAGATTTACATATTCTAACTGACTGGTCAAACAATGTCTACAGCTGAGGTAATAACCATAAGGCACGGAATGTTTCTTTATATGTCATGATCTTAGATAAAG